GCCTGTAATTTTAAGCCCTAAATCCTGTAATCAGGTTCAGTAGTACAGCCCTGGACCTGCACAGAGCCTCACTGGTCTGCTAGCAGCAATCCAAGAGGTACCACATCGTCTTGGAGGATCGAAAGATTTAACTAAACTGAACAAAATTCTGTTTCTGAATGAAAGCTCATTCTGTGCTTATAGTCGGAAAATATAAAAGAAGACACAGGAAAATTCATACACTAAGCCTGTGATTTCATTAAAGTCAGTGGGGTCATTCCAAATTAATAATGACATAAAAGCAACCTGAACTTGGCCTTTGAGGTTATATTCTATTAGTTTGCTAATACCGTGTAAATTCTATATTTGAGCAGTATCCTGCAGTCATCTTGGCCCTTCTTTTTTAAAGGAAAGTTCTGCTTAGAATCCCCTGATGCAGCTTGGGCCATTATTTTAAAACAAGACTGATTTTAGGAGTCATATTGTGTCTATGAACAACACCAAGCAAGAGAAAGAGAAGTGATGAAATTTGTTTTCAAGTTGCCAATTGATAAAAAAAGAACTATGCAGAAAATACGCACAAAAAAATCCACCATAAAAATCATGCAAACGGTTAGAAAAGATACTATACTAGAAGTATTACTTCCACACCTCCTTATGGATTGTGAGTACCAACCATTAAAAGTCAACACTGTCGGCCATTTGGCATATTTGTTGGCCTAGCTTGTTTATACCATGCATCTAAGATAGGCATAATTTCACTTCCTTCATAAAGTGCAGCTTGGGCTTAGTAAAAGAAAACCCACGGTGATAACAGTAGCAATCTGAAAAGTTGCAGAAGTGAGATACTCACTGGGTTGCATATAGGAATACCCGACTGTGTGTTGTCCCACTCTGGACCTAAAATGGCTGTTTAGCAGGGGATGTTGTTGCCTGGTGACCAAAAGTGCATCTCCTAGGCCACAGAGGGATGTGCACATTCAGAAATTGATTTGTTCCTGTTGCTCTTGAGGAGACCGTACCAGTAAAATAGATTAAGCCAGCACATAATCAGCTATACGTTTTCCTTGATGGCATGCTTAAACTTGATGTTGAAGATAGGCCTGTGATTTTGAGCTACCTGCCAACCAGGCAAGAGAAAAACAGAATAATGCCTCACACACTACTGCCCACAGAATATGAAAGTAGACCAAGCCTCAGCTACTGTGAGACTACAAGGCACCCCTGCTTCAATTAAGTCTGTGTTGTACATCTAGCCTGTTCCGGTGCAACCTCCCAGTTGCTATCAGGCTCTCTTTCTTTCATTAGAATCAAGTAGTTAATTAGCCCCAGCCTGTCCTCTCTCCTTCTCTCTTTCCCTTTAACGCAGCAGTAATGATGTCTAATTACCAGCAGCAGTGGATTACAGCACCATGAGGAGCAAATCTCTCTGGCTGACAGCAAAGCTGAGCAGCAAATCTTAAAGCTTCAAGGGGAGAATAATTCCTAACAAAGTATTTGAATATTTGCTTATTTTTGACCATCTTGTGACTGTAGAGTCCAACTTGCAATTTCATCCATCCTGTTACTGCAGAGGGATCGCTCACGCTGTCAGCGGTGATTAATTTTAAATTGAAACTACTTTTACCTATGGTGAGATCAAGTGATGAACAGGAAGAGGGAGAGATTCAGTTTGGGGAGCTGTTACTGTTTGTGGCTCTCTGTGTGGACTAGGCAAGCTCAAATGCATGGGATAAGGATGAGAGAGGAAAAAAGAAAGTTAAATAAATAAATAAATAAGCAATGAGGATGCTTCTAAACGGTCATAAATTAATAAACTCTTAAATAAAGAGGAAGTGTTCAAAAAAAAAAAATATGAGAGAACGGGCTTTTAAGGCTTCCCAGCAGTTACTGTCTGATGAAAAACCAATACTTCCCCCTGTAACTTATCATTCCTGGCTGGATGAGATCCGAGGCCTCTTGAAGGCAGTAGAAGCTTTGCCACTGTCTTTCTCTGGGCCAGGGGCTGCATCCCTGTTCTGTAAAATGGGTTGTTTCTGAGCCTTCAGCACCTGGCAGGCGCTGCCCCTGCCCTGGCAATAGCTCGTACAAACCATCTGCACCCTGGGTGTCTGCTTAAACACTCCTCTGCCTTCTGAGATGGGACAGTAACACCAGATCCGTGGGTTTAGGAGGGGGGCGGCATTCGTTTCTCGGAGCTGAATGTTGTATGGGAGTGCCGAGTATCACCTTTGCTCACTTCTGATGGACAAAAGATTTACGTTGGCCAGCAGGAGGAAATTTTACCTGCATGCAAGACCTTTTCTGTAAGGGTTTATATGTCATTGTTCGAGTAAGGTACAGATATTCAGGAATTGCTTACAGGTAGGTCATGATAACTTCCCTTTCTTGATTTTATTAGCAGGAATCCTTATTTTATTAGGATGTCTGCTTCGTTGCTTATGCTATCTAAAAGTAGTTACTTCTATAAATACATATATAAATACATCTTAAATACATATAACATAAATACATTCACAGTTGAGGGTATGATTCCCTTAAATGAACAAAGGTAAGACTAGCAAGGCGCTCGACCTCTGACTGAAATCTCTGAAGGAAAAAAAAAAAGTAGAAAAAATTTGATTATTTGATCTGAAAATAAAATAGGGGAGGGGATGCAAGGTGGGATGCTAGGCTTCCATGGCCTAGCAAAGGTGAGAGAAAACAGACAAGCTGATCATCACCAAGTCCTGTGTTTCAGAGGCCTGGAAGAGCACTTCATTTTTAAATTCCATCCTGTAAAATTTAGTTCAACCTTTTTATTTAGTAGCATAGTCAATGTAATTTTAAAAAATACTGAATTTGTCCACAGTTTTAAACTTGTAGGGAAAAGTATAGTCTTAGGAATAAACAATCTTGCTTACTGGCTCTCCAAAATTATTATTTTGGTAAGCAGAAGAGCTATTTAAAAATACCAACCTAATTGAAGACTTCTGCTCTGGACAACGTTTTCATTATAAATTGTATCTGCCGTACCCCCTGGGGTCAGAGATTAGCGACCAGTCATCTAACGGCAGAACAGAAATCTGCCAAATAACCTCAATCTATAGGCAGACCTAGAACGCTTCGGTGAATAAAAACCATAGAGAGGGAACAAACTCTTTTCCAGAGCTTCTCTTTCACTTTCAATCTTCATATTTGTAAACTCCTTCAAATTAATTTCCCACCTCTGCCTCCTCGCAGCCGTGACGGCGCTGATGACAAGGGGGCAAATAGGAGCCGGCCCTTGGGAATGCCCAGGTTTATGACTTCAGCGAGGCAGAGAGAGGCAGATTTCCCCGGCAGCCTACGTCACAACCCAACCCAGAATACTTTCCAAGAAGCCCCCTTCGCTGCGCCACCCAGCAACCTTCCCGTTAGGTCAGAATTAGCTGCCACTCCAAAAAAAAAAAAAAAAAAAAAAAAAAAGGGGGGGGGGAAAGAAAGAGAGAATATTGCTCATCCAAGCCAAATGCCCAGGCAGGAATATTTTTAATTGCCGAGTTTCTTTTCTCGGCTCCCCCTCCCCACCCGCCCCACGCACAGACAAAAGAAGCTTAGCCTGCCTGACCCAGCGCATAAGAAGTAAGAATAATGATACATAAGGAGAGTTCAATAGGCAAAACCTACTTGCAGCCAACAGTCCCCATCTTCTTAAATAGGAAAATCTGTCGCTCCTGCCACCACCGAGCACAACAGCTCTCCCGCTGCCAGAGCTGCGCCCAGCTCCGCGGCTCCGGGCGCTGCCGGGGGGGGGTGCCACGGTACCCCCCGCGCACCGGAGGGAGTTCGGAGCCTTTAGGGCTGCGAGATTGGAGGCAGCCCCGCCAGCGGGAGCGCAGGGAAAGCACCCTGCCTTCGCTCATGCGGAGCCCCCTCTTCCCTTTGTTGAGCATCCTCTCTCCCCGCCGCCGCCGTTACTGGCGCAGCCGGCGCTTCGCACAGCAGCCAGGCACATTCGTGCCGCTCGGGCTGCGGGCTAACAATAAAATAAAACCCAAAACAACAACAACAACAACAACAAATAAAAAAAAAAAAACAAAAAAAAAAAACAAAACACCCCAACCACACAAAAACCGATATCCCAGGGAAACGCACACGCACACCCCCCACCTCACCACCACCACCACCCCCCCCACCAAAAAAAAAAAAAAAAAAAAAAAAAAAAAAAAAATCACGGCCCGGCGCGGCGCTTGGCTTTGTGCCAGGCGGGCTGCCCCCCTTGCGCGGCCGCGCAGCCCCGTGGGCGGCGGGGAGCCGCTGCCCGGGCCGCGGGGCCCCCACAATGGCCGGAGCGGCGGCGGGACAATAGCCCACCCGAAACCCGCCGCGGTGACCCGGGGGGGGGGGGGGGGGGGAAGACGGGGGGCCGAGGGGGGCCGGGGAGGAGAACGACCCCGAGCCGGCTGGGTGTGTTGTGCGCACGATCGCTTTAAATAAAGGGAGCCACAAAGACCTCGGCGGTGTATAATGTGACAGGCAAACGCAACATGGTGATGATGACTTGGGGGAAGAGGGAGGAAGGAGCCAACTGTGGCTGCGGCTCCCCCTGTGCCTCTCGCTCCCGGAGCGGGCTGCAGCGGCCGACATAGAACAAGGAAGACAATTCTCTACTAACCGTGGTTTTGACTGGCACGTACAGCACTTGCTTCCCTCCTCCAGCACCACCACTGACCTCGTCCGAGTTGCCGAGCTGGAAGCCTTTAGATTTGACCCAGAATTTGAATTTGGCATTATCCGTGGAGCTCGACTCGGAGCCGTTCAGGAGCTGGACGATCCGGTCGTATTTTTTACGGGTCACCGTCTTGGTTTTTCCTGAGTCCCCGTAAGTCCTGAGACACCAGTCTTGAAACTGGCGGTACATGTCCCGGTCGCTGCTCTCCATAATCTCCTAGCACACACACGCACACATGCACACGCCGGGGCGCACACACGGGCACACGCACACACACGCACGGACGGACGGACGGACGGACGGACGGACACGCCGCCCCGAAGCGGGCCGGGGTGCGGGGCCGGGCCGCCCCGCCGCACTTTGCACCTGTTCACCCAGCGCTCATGAAAAATGCATCCACCTCCGAGCCGGAGCGAAGGAGGTCCCGGTGCAGGCAGATCCCAGCGGTTGGTGTTTTTTTGTTGCTTTTTTTTTTTTTTTTTTCCTCCTTTTTGTTGTGGTGGTTCGGGGGGGGGTTGGGGGGGGCCGGGAGGGGGATGGGTGAGGGGGGGCAGCAATCAATTCAATAGTGTGGCAATGTTCTCCCTCTTTTTTTTTTTTTTTTTTTTTTTTTTTTTTTTTTTTTTTTTTTTCCACAGGAGGCAAAACGGGGCTGGTGGAGGGTCCTCTTATCCTTCCACTGTACGTGATCAGTCTCTTTAATAATTGTGCAGGGCAGGACTATCCCACTGGCTCCAGCAGCTTCTTACCCGGAGACGGTTCGGGTGGATAAATAATTAAAATCCTATCCCTCGGCTTCGCGAAAATATTGACTCGGATCCTTCTTCTTTTCCATACATCAGCTGCACCCGGATTCACCCCGGATAGAGCAGGTGAAGGGGAAAAAAAAAAAAAAAAAAAAAAAAGAAAAAGAAGAAAAAAAAGCCCACCCTCCTCCACCCCGGCAGCCCTCGGCTGTCTTCTCGAAAGGCGCTCTGTCTCTGTCCTGGCGGGTTGTGCCTCTCCCCAAAGCCGCCTCGCCGAGCAGGATGGAGGAAGCACTGAAGGGCAAACTGGTCTGTTTGCTCCCCCTTTATTCCAGGGCTGGGCGGCTTTGCTTTAGAAATCCCCACTCCGGGCATGAAGGTACTGGAAAGAAAGAAAGTTCTTACCTGCTATTTTCTAAGCCTAATACATCCGATCTGCGTTTTAAGTACATATTTTTTAATTAAAAAACAATAAAAAAATCAACGGTCTCGGACCATTTCACTTCCTCATATTCAGTCCCACTGAATTTTCAGATGCCCTTTTAGGAATTTCCCTCTATTTATTTACTTAGCAATCCCAGCAGATGGAGAAAAAAAAAAAAAAAAAGAAAAAAAAAAATCACCAAAAAAACAGGTATATACGAGATAGGCTCGGATATTGGACCAGAGGAGAGAGAGATCAGTCCCAGGAGGATGTTGGTAAAGGCAAGGAGGCGGCTCTCGTTGCTCTGCCAGTGTAATGATGGTGCTCACACATGTAGGACTCCTCGGGTGCGGGGTATCCTTTGGTCTCTGGGCTAAACTGGCTACAAGGCATTCAAGTAAGTTTGCGTGCGGATGCTGAGCAAACCCCCCTTTTTTTTTATAGGGGGAAGAAAAAGAAAAAAAGAAAAAAAAAAAGGCAATCTTGATTTTTTTTTTTTCCCCCCCCCCCCCTCCCTTTGCCAGTTTCAGTTCACGCCGGAGATTTCCGCGCTCTCCCCCGCCGCGCCAAGCAGGACACCCCCTCCGCGGGGGGAAGGCGCGGCGGCGGCGCTTTCCTCTCGTCGCCTCTCCGCGGCCGCGCCCGCCTGCGCCTCCGCCATCCAGCGCCCGGCTCCGCGCCCCCCCGCCACACACACACACACACACACACACACACACTCCCCCCACACACACCCCCCCCCGCCCGCAGCCGGCACCTCGGCTGGGGCGCTACGCCCGGCCCGGCCCGGGCCGCGGGGTTGACGTTGCGTCTTCCGCAGCAGGCCGCGCAACGCCGCTCCGCTCCGCGCTGCGCTCCGCGGCGGCGCACCGGGCCCAGCGCAGCGCCGCTCCGCTCCCCCCCCCCCCCGCGCCCTGATTGGCCGACGGGACAAAAGTTTCTGTGGCGACGGCGGCGCGGCGCGGTGACGGGCAGCGCTGTCCCATGTCGGGATGGCGCGCGCGGCTCCCCCCCCCCCCACCCGCCTCCGCGGGCGCGGATCCGGCCGCGGGCTGCCGGCGGGGGGGGGTGTGTGTGAGCAGCCCCCCCCAACCCCTCACGGGAGGCGGGCGGGGGGGGGGGGGGGGAGAGGCGAGGGCAGCGTTTCCATGGCGATGTCTCCGGGCGCAGCCCCCCCCCCCCCCCCCCCTTCCTTTCCCCGCGCGCAGACGGAGCGAGCGGATCAGCTGACACATCATTAGCTTAGGACCTAATTATTGCTTATTGGAGCAAGAAACGCGCGCAGGGCCGCGGCGGGGGGGGGGGGCTGGCGCCCTCCGCGCCCTCCCTGGACGCCCCCCCACTCCCCAACGCCCCCCGCTTCCCCCTCCCCACCCCACCCCCCACCCCCCCCACCACCAGCCGCCGCGCGGAGCCGGGGGTGGGGGGAGCGGAGCGGCGGCACCGCGCACTTTGCGCAGCACCGGCCGGCGAGGCTGCGGCGGGCCCGGGGGGGTGGGTGAGGCTTTTTTTTTGGGGGGGGGGGGGGGCGTCCCCGCGGGGACACGTGGCCGCCGCCGGGCCGGGCTTTCCCCCGGGCACGGAGAGCGAAGCCGCTCCGCGGCGGCCGCCCCCCCCCCCCCCCCCCCCCCCCAAAGCTCCATCGCTTTCCCGCATCTCCTGGCGCCCGCAGGACCCTCCGCGCAACCCGGCTCCGGGGGGAGGCGGCAGCGAGCGGCCAACTTCCCGCCCCGCCGATTGTTGTGGGGCGGAGCGGGGGCGGGGGGGGGGGGGGGGGGGGGGCGAAGTGGGGTGCAGCGTGGGGACGGGCCTTTTTCATTTGCGCTGAAATGAAGGGGGGGGGGGGGGGGGTGTCTGTGGGGCTCCTCAGCTTTAACTCGGGTGTCCGCGGCGGAAATCTTGCCCGTGGCGGGGTTTGCAGGCGCTCGGGGCCTGGAGGGACCCGGCGCGAAGGCAGCCGTGGGGTTTTTTTTCCTGCCCAGGCCTGGGCAGTGAGGAGCACCCTCCGCTTTCACCGCCTTGCACCCCACGGGAACAGGCGGCCGTGGGCTGCAGTGCCGGCAAAACCGTTTATGCCGAGCCTGGATTTCCAGTGCAAGAAGGGAAGGTGCTCGGAGAGCCGGGGGTTGCCCGTCCTGAGACACGCAGCCAGGCCACGCTGGCCCACGGGGCCGGCCCCACGCACGGACACCTCAGCCTGCCCTCCATCTCCCCCCTGGCCCGGCTCGCACGCTCCCTCTGCCCCCGGTCCTGGGTTTACTCTGCTTTTCTGCTTTCTGTCCAGAAACAGCCGCGGACACGGGCAAAGCCGGGGGAAGACTTGTTTCAAAGCAGCGCGCTGAAGGATGTTTGCGTTGCCGAAACCTTTCCTGGCATCTGTAAAATCTGAGAAGGCGAGCTGGCTCTGCGGGCGGAGAAAAGTAGGGCTTAGAAATAACCCAAGGAGGCCTGAGACTTTCTGTTGGCCACAGGGCCCGTAAATTACCCCGGCAGCCCCGTTTTAGTGTTTGAGGAGTGCGGGACTCCCGTCCATCACAGGATCTGGAGGAGAGGCAGCAACAAAGGAACTGCTGTGCCGACGGGAAACGAGGGGGAACCTTGCTGAACCCTTACCCAGCAGGCTTTATGAGATGTAACATTACTTTAATGTGCCATTATATCTACATTTAGAAAAAGGGTCACAACATAGACGAGGCTGCACTGCTAAACAATTCTGTCAGATAATTGTTCTGAAAGCAGCCTCCTGCTGAGGGTCTCGGTAACTTCCGTATCATACCGATACTGTGCTGTGCCTGAATCCAGAGTAAGCTCACAAAGCAAGGGGGGGAAAGGAAGATGCAACATAGCCAGGAGTGGTGATACAGACAGTTACAGCATGGCTGAGTGAAATGCTTGAAATAAGCAGGAGTGCTTTAGTGTATCAGACAATAATTCCATATCCAGGAGTACTGCTTTGGATCGTGTAAAGAGCCATATGCCTTCTCAGCAGAGACAAATTCCTAAATTCAGCTGAGATTGGATCATGCCTTAAAAAAACCCCAGAAATACTCATTATATTTTCAAACTGTTTAATGACAGGAGAGAGAACAAACAAAAGCAGATGAAAACCAACTGTGGCATGGAGTGGGGATGGAGGGTAGAAACTAGCATAATATTTAACTCATCTGGATTTTTTTCTTTGTTTTGCAGTGGGGATTTTTGATTTGCGTTGGTGAAAGGTATGGATGTTTTATTACTGCTTCCATTAATCACTTGGCCAGAAGTCCTAGGAGAATCCTGGAGCTCCACCATGCCAGGCAATGGATCAGCACAGCGCACAAAAATGATGCTTACCATAAAAAATTTGTCATCTAAATAAGGTCAATTTCATGGTATATGACTTCACTTTATATAAAAGTACATTGTAGAATATATTTGCATAACCTATACTCATTACGTATGTCCATATATATACGTCTGTAGTATTTTCAGCAGCATTTATTTGGAGAGTTTAGAATGCAGATTTTTAATCCGCAGTTTTTAAGTCATCCGAGACTCTGAAGTTAGTACCATAAGATTATATGTAAATAAGGAAAGTTGCATGGAGTTAGGTTCACCGTCCTGGTTTTTTGGTATCAGAATTAACGGGCTTTAATAACACAGACCGAAATCTCCTTGCAAGGAAAAGGGCTTGGACAGACCTTCCTGCGTCAAGGCTTCCAGTGACACCCCATTACTCAGCGGAACTTGAAGGAACTCCCTTGGCATCCTTGGGGAGATGGGCTGTGTCGATCCTTCGATGCCATGGACTGAGGCTCTTCTGCGTTCTGTAGTCTGCAGAACTTGCTTGGCTCTGTCAGAAAATGAAAGTTTCTGTCCCCTGATTTGGAGACAGCCTTCCTACGGCAAATCTGTGCCTTGCTGGATTGTTTGCTCTGCAGCCAGCCCGAAACAATAGAACACCAACAGATGTGTGAACTTTTCCATTCAGTGTAATGAAGTGTTAGTTGCAAACCAGAGTTTTGGCAATTTAAATTGCCTCATGTGCATCAGGCTGTGAAAGAGGTTTAAAATAAATCATGAATAAGTTATAAATATTGTATTTTAGGAATTATCAGCTCTAACAAGTCCACTGTCAATGGAAAGTGAAGACTTAGGCAGACTGGGGCCTGATGTCTCTCATTAAAGTTACCAGTGTTTCTAGATGAAATTACAGTGTTGTGGTGTCGTAGCACTGAGTAAACAGAAAAAGCTGAGAAGACACTTTAAAGTTTTTAAAACTTGCTGAAAAAAAAGCGAACACTTTTGGCTTGAATCTGTGATCTGACTTCTGCCAAAGAGGAGTGTTTAGAAAATGTGCACCATAATATTTCAGCACAGTGCTTGATACGGAGTTCTTGGATGGTTCAGGGTAGCCTTTCAGGGTAAGATTTTTCTGTCTCTTGGGTTTTTGTTCACCAACATAGTTAGAAAAATGATTTTGACACTTCTAACTTGCCATGTCCATGAGTTACGATGGGAAGTCCACTTTCTGTGCAGACTGAAAATCCTCCTAGCTGAACCGAGAGAAGATGTGCCGAGGAATAAAGAAACCACAGCTCCAATTGATTTGCTTTAAACTGCGTGCCTGCTAGCGCTTTTCCTCTCTTCTGGAGAGAATTTCAGTGGAAGTCTCTTGTCATGCCCTTCACAGCCGCTGGTGATGGCAGTACCGATGAGCACTGGCAGCCCTATGGCTTGTGGAGGCAGAAGCCACTGTTCACGCACGGCCTGGGCTCGTCTGCGCTGTCTTCCTTCGGTCTCGGCTACGTGACAACATCTCCTGAGCGGTTGGATGATCAGTCACCTCACTACGGTTGGGGAGGGGAAAATAGTTGCCGTTCCACATATTATCGGGAAAGGACTGCTCTAGAAAGTTGTTCTTAACGTTATCTCCAAGACGTTTGCTGCTTAGGAGATCAGAAAGTAGAGAGGTGGCTACTTGGTGGTATTAACATATGAGAACTGCAAGCAAATGAATGCCTCCTGCTTTTTGATTTATCTACTGAAGCAAGCCTGCCTATCCTATCTATCTATCTATCTATCTATCTATCTATCTATCTGTATCTATCGTGAAGCAAAGCCTAAACTATTCATTATTGTCGAATACAAATGCTTCCTACAAATTCTCTCTTGTTTCCAGTTCCAGTGTTCTCTATTTTTTTCAGTAGGCTTTGGTCAGTTACTGCTGAGTTTGGAAAATTAAGAGGGGGTAAACCAAGGCAACAACTCAGAGATGGATTATAAGAACATACTAGATTGCTAAACCTTTGGGGAAGGAGGCTGAATGTTCCTGGGTTTATAAAGAAATGGGAGAATGGTGCTATAATTCTGGTTAGGAACTCTTCACATAGAGTGATGTTGATGACACTGATGAGAATAATGTTGGGATACGTTCCATCTGTGCCTTTTAATGATCTTGTTTGGAGGCATTTGGAATCTCTTATGGAAAATACTCAAACTCACTTGCCCTCACTGCAGTTAGAAAAATTCAGACTCGGCTTTGTTCTACAAAGCTGCTTTGCTTTAAGTAGCAGTTCTGCAAAACATAACTTCACATATTTCTTTTACTCTATGCTTTATTACTGAGGATATTTGCGTGAAAACAGGGTCTTTGTTTAAAAGTTCCTGCTTCTTATTCATCACAGCTCGTTGGGTTGGAAGCAATTGTGATTCCCTCTACAGAAGGCTTCGATCCCTTCAGAGCAGGAATAGACAAACTTTTAAGAATCTAAGCTCCAGGTTTCATGCAGATCTCCTAATTTCTTTAGTAATAAAGAAAGGAAAAGGGAGTAAATACGTAACATACAGTGGAAAAAAAAAAAAAAAAGAATGTTTCAAATATGTTAAGGTTTGTATATGGGCATCAAATGTTTTTTAATGTTATAATGATGCCTTACATTCAACTTCGCTGACTTTTATCCTAAAGGAGAAAGTGTGCACCGAGGGGTTTTTTTTTTTGCGTGTTTTGGATTTTTTTATTCTTTCTGCAGGTAATATATTTTCCTCAGCTACAGTCAAACTAATATAAACCAGCTACTGGAATATCACCCAGTGTGTTGTCTAAACCAAGCCAGCACTAGTAAGGCAGTGCTGAAAATGCTAGCAGCCTATCTCTGTTAGCATTCTCAACTTTATCACCATGGAGGAAGATGTGATAATTGGAAATTTTTCCAGAAGGTTCCAGATACAGCTCTACAGTCATCATGTCAGGCACTACTAGACAAAGCCAACAGTGAAGCCGAGTGTGGTTAACTAGTTGTCACTGTCCTTACAACAGCAGGAAAGTGTGGAGGAAGAAAAAAGAAGATAATTACTCAATCTGAAATATTTGGCAGACTACACCATTAATCCATCCCCAGTATAAAATATCATCCAAGTTTTACTTTTGTATATGATGTAAAATCCAAATTTCACTTTTGCATCAGCAACATGGGGTCCTCCCACCACTTCACAACATGGAAGAGATTGCAAGCTAAAGACCAAGGTGAAAGAAACGGGTGTCACCTCATGTTGCAGATACTACATCCTTTACTATTTTATGGTTTTTAGCTTCTTGACCTAATTGATTTTGCTTCACAGGTGAAATTTGCTCAAAATAATTCCCAAGTTTGTGCCACTGTAGTTTCAATATAAGCTAGCCATTCTCTTTAACTGAAAATACCACGCATTTTTTGCAGTTATACATGTGAGGTTAGAAAATGGTCATAAAAAAGGGTCCTTTCAGAAACTGTCATTGTTGGTAGATTTTGACTTGGTAATATTCAATGTCCAGAATAAAGTTACCATCAAAACACCAAGGCCATGCCATTAGCATCAACTTTAAGCAGCAGGAACAGTATAAATAGTATCTGTCTTCACGTTACTTTTCCCCACTCACCAAATGCAGTTTATCTATTGCACACTTCTTAGTCTGTTTTCTCTGTTCCTGTTAAAATACTGAATAATTTGTACTCAATATAACCCCATTCCAAATAATAAAAACAGAAGAAAGATCATTAATTTAAACAAGTAAACACAGCCAACTGACTTAATTAAATAAAAAGAATTCTCAGAACAACTGGGGATTTATAAATGGAAGTGGAGTGCAGATCTCCATTCATTTATGGCAAGTAAAATTGGTTCAGACTCAAGAAGCAGGTTTGGTTTGGTTTGGTTTGGTTTGGTTTGGTTTGGTTTGGTTTGGTTTGGTTTGGTTTGGTTTGGTTTGGAGGTTCTCCTGATAGTTTGGTTTTGTTTGTTTGTTCATTTGTTGCTTTCTGTGTGCTCTGCCTGCCTGGGTTTTTCCTCACTCCTGAGGAGTGAGGAGAGGACCCCTGGCCAACGGTGGTCCCTGCCCACTGAAATCAAATTACATAGAGAATTTCGAGCCATTATATGTAGAAAATGCCCAGGATAGGGAGCTAGAGGTAGTTGTCATGTCCTGCAGGTCTCCCAGTTTAGGAATGCAGGCCTGGGGAGGACCTCCTCACAGGTCCCGTCTAGTCTAAGCACCTTGTAACATTTAGTCAAGGACAAAACACCTTTTCCATATTTCTCCTATGCTCCAAGGCTCTCCCAACCCTTTATGTCAGTCTGGAAACCTGCAGAAAGGGGCAGAAATCCACAATAGTTTGCAACAGCAGTGAAATAGTTGTGGCTCTCTCCATTTCTAACCAGCTGTGCCCTACTGCAAGGAGTGCGGCAAGGAGGCACTAAGTGTGAAAGATGACAGCACTCAGGAATTAAATGAGGTATGATCCCAGGACTGCCCCTCTGTGCTCTGTCTCTGGAGATCTGCCAGAATCATGCCATTTATCTATACCAAGACCTTGCGGGTTATTTGCTCTTAGAAGCAGGTTTATTTAGACCTGAGTGTGCCTGTGTGTTTCCTTATGGCCGTATTCGTGTTACTCAGAACAAAAGCCACATGCAGAGTCTTATGACAGTGAAGTTTTAGAAGGAGCCAGACATCTTCATGACCCCTCTGCCCAGGCACCCCTTTGATACAGCCCCTCACTCTGAGCTGGGATATGGAAAGACAAGTAGGGACAGAGGGTGAGGCAGCAAAAATGCCTATTCTGTTTCAGGAAGGACTTCTTTTAAACAGTGACATTTCTCCACCAGCTGTACCCAACCATTTAATGACCCTCTAGTCATACCTTCTGGTATAAAAAGCAATGCAAAAGTGGCTTTCAACAAAAATGATCCTGGTGCCTTGTCTTTCGGATGCTTATAAGCCTCTAAGGTACCTCTGAGACTTGCCCATTGCTGCTAAAGCCCAAGTGATTCACCTGAACCAGCATGTTCTCTTACATAATTTTGCTCTCTCTCTTCCCAAAAGGAAAAGACCATCTGAAAAAAACAGCCCATTGGGTAATGCTTCAAGGCTCTGAAACAGAAAAAAATGCTTAGTGAAGAGCCTTGATAGTGACAGCAGTATGCCTGAAATGTGAAGGATTGCATGAATATTTGTATTTATGACCACTAGCTTATAGAGAACAATGCTGCCTTAGCAAAGTCCTCACTCAGTTTAACACATACTGTAGCGTTAAGCTCTATATATTTTCATACATTTCTGACTGAACTTTACATAATGGTTCTTATGAAAGAAAGTAAAACTGGAGCTCCTTGTATTGCCCAAAGCCATTTTTTGAACAAGAGGTGTACTTTGTTTTCTGAAGCTGATATCCTCATTCAAACAAATATGCAATAATAAAAAAAAAGATGTTAATGTGTGAAAAAGTCATCTGCAGTGTTGAAATTCTGGCCAGCTTGTTGTACAGACACTACATGCTAGAGAAATGATGACTTGGTAGGGGAAATTTACTCATTGTGTATCGCACTCAACTTAATAAGCAACACCTTGCCTGCACTACTCGTCATCCTGCCAGAGACCAGGGAAGTAGAGATGTGCATGGCCATAGGCAGGGTAGCTTAGGAAGCTATGCTACTATTTCTGCTGTTTGGGTTTGTTGTTTGCTGTTTTTGGGGTTGGTTGTTTGGTTGGTTGGTTGTTTTTTTTAATATTTATTCTGTCTGTAAGACCAGGTATGACCATGGTGTTCCCCAGTCTCTTATGGGAAGGAAAAGGCCATTTCAGCCTTTGCCTCCAAACTTGCAAGACTCCCCACTCTGTAACTACCCACTCTGTTGTTGTGGTTAGCATGGGCAGGAAGCTACCTGTTGGCGTATTAGTGACTTTCTATTTCTTGCATTCATTTTGCTAATTAATCGGAGGAAACAGAAAAAAAAAAAACATAGGCTAGTCCAAAACTTGTCCATCATACATTAACGCATGCTGGCTGGCCCAATTGTTCACCTTGCTTTGTTCTATCATTTTTATTTGCACATCTGGATTCAAGAAAGAGGTGATCTCTTTGCCCATCACTTGCTACAGGCCTCTGAGAATGAATTAAAATAAAATAAATCCATCTGCAGATGCAGTATCCCTAGAAAGCAAACAGTGGTTTTGCAAACATACTGCAGGAAATAATCGTGGTGTGTTGAAGACAGACTATCATTTCTTTTCTCAAAACCATCACAAAGCACAGATACAACATGACAAGTTCTCTCATCGGCCCATTTTAAAGAGTGAGCACGAAATATGTCTTAAAGGATAACTAAAGGTTAATGACCTTTCCAGATTTGGCTCTGTCTGTAACTCTGTGGTATTGCTGGGTGTCCTGGCCATGGTGGGTACCATTCCCGAACGGGAAAAGAGTTGCATCCAAAGCGACTCTGTGAAGTGTTGTAGAAAAATCTCAGTATCTTAAATTCTGTCTGGGAATCCAAGCAACGGTCACAGATCTTGGAGTACACAGGAGAAGTAGTCCGTTAAGAGGGTTGCTGCATTTTGTTCTCCATGTCTGAGACACAGTTTGGTGTATCTAGAGAAGCAGTTGACGTGCATCCTTCCTACAGAGAAATCCATTTCTCTCTTGCACACAACTCCTGCCAGATCAGCCCCTTTTCAGACGGGGTAACTGTGCTTGGGATCTCCAGGCTTACATCAGGGCTCGGTATATACATTTATAGTATTGGGGTCTTGTCCATATGTATAAAGATTTAAAACAAAACAAAACAGAACAACCAAGAGTAGGGAGAATAATCTGCTAAATGTAAATTTTCAATCCAGGGATATGAGTCAAAGGGTCGATGCCTCATATCCACCACAGGATTTCTCAGAGTAAAGCTGTGTTGCTTCTTGTGTCAGCAGAGGTGCAGTGGTGACTGGAGTAGTGTTCGCTTTTGCGTCCACCATCAGCCAACAGAGAGGTCTTCAGAGAAGGGCTACAAGAGGGGAAGGGATGTCTTTCAATGAGAGATTTAAGTACATCAATCTATTTAGCTTAACAAAGACAAGGTTAAGGGGAGAGTTGGTATTCATTTATAAACTTCCCATCTCCCTGTAGAGATAGAATAGAAGAGTAGAAATTTGATAATCTATGGCATTTCAGTCAAGTGGAATACAGTCTGACAAGAACCAGTGAAATTTGAAACTAGACACATTTCAACATGGAAGGTAATTAATTATTAGAACAATTTACCAAGAATTGTAATGGATTCTCCATCACTAGACATTTTGAAGTTGAAATTGATTGATTTTCTGAGAGAAATGCTCTAATTCCTACAGGAGTTAATTCAAGAATGTCCTGTAACCTGTGTAATACAGGAAAAAAATAGATGATCACAAATGGTCTTTCCAGTTTGATGAGCTATAAACTTGCACCAAATAGCTAATGCATAGCTTCCTATGTCCTGCATTCTCCTACTGTAACTAGTAAGTATGATTCAAACATTTTTGCCTTTATGTACATTTGCTTGGGAAATGTACAGCGATGGAGTGTAACATAAGCTATGTGCGTGCTGTTAAGGTGGGACATTCTGTCTGGTTTATGGATTCAAAGATTTTAAGGCTGGGGAAGCCCTAATCATCATCTAGCCCGAGTACATTCAACACAGAGCATTGCATTTGGCCCCAGCGTTCCTGTGCTATTTGAGGAGCTGACATCTGATTGACAGCAGTCGTTTCCAAAAGGCACATGGGTTATAGTTCGCCACGGGGGTGCAGGGGGAAGCGGGATGCTCCACTCTGTGTCCGTCTCAGTGGAGTGCAAGCTCATGATTTTTCCAGGCTCTTTTGTAAATTACATCCCAGACCCAGTTTAAAGAATGGGGTTCTGCTTCAGCTGAAGCCAGCAGACACCTTGACTTGGATTTCAATGAATTCCACTGGATAAGCCAAAATGATGCTGAATTTGCCACACTGAAAATACCAAAAGATATCAATTAAGAGTTCTCCATGGATTTTGTTATGCAGAACTAAATGTAAAATAAGACATCATCTCTATTCCTGATCACCTTTCACTGAGGTGTATGAAATAACAAGGAAAAATCTGCTTTAAAATAGGCAGAGAATTTTTTGTTTCAATACTTGTCCAAGGTCTTCCCAGCCACTGCATCAAACCATACTGTCGAAACCCAGCAGAGTGTCTGTCTCTGAGCAGTGCTCAATGCAAATGTTACCTGACCTAGAAAATTACTGCTCACAAGGAAAAGGAGTACCCTTTCGCTATTTTGATGGTAAGTCACGGACACCAACTATACAGAGAACTGTAAATAAACATTACTTCAAAGTGTAGCTCTGGGCAGTTCCGTATAGTTCATCTGAAACCATTACAACATACACAGCTATATAAAAGAGTCAAGATGGGGGGGAGTGTCTTTTATTACAGCTGGAAAAAATCAATATAACTGTTGTTCTAATCAAAGAGGATAGTTACATTTTCTTGCAAACTTTGTGTCTTTGAACTGCCATGGCTACAGTGCTACCACTTGGCATAGACAGTACTGTTAATAGAACTGATTTTACATACAGCACAGAGTACTTTAGCTGAGAAATAAAACAAAAGCAATGACAATACACATTAAAACGTGCACTTTAAAGCAAAGGTGAGAAAACCAATTGTTTTGTTTTGTTTTTTTTTAACAACATGAGATGACAAATTTGCTATTAAAAATAATGTCCTTTCCCTCCACATTAGGTCTGGACGTTCAAATGGGTAGAAATAGCAGTTTAAAAATAGTTAAAAGAATCTGCAGGTTGAGCTATTGATGTCAGTTACTTCCTTCACAGAGGATAACCTTTTATGAATTTTATCCATTATCAAGTTGGGTCTATTTGCTGTAATAAAGCATCATCTCTTTCTGAAGAAAGAACACCTCATAATTGCCTTTCTTAACTTTATATCAAGATATAATGAAGATATTTTTTAAAAAAATCTTTAATTTTAACCAAACACAAAGTAAGAGAAGAGTTAGACACTGGGTATCACTTTTTTTTTTTTTTTTTTCCTGTTCAAATGAGGTGGCAGCAATACTGTAACAGAAAACAAAAATACTCCCCTCTCCCACCTTCCTTTCTGAAGACCAAAACAATCACTCATTTACTAAAAGACTGCAGTATAGAGCTACAGTTGGTCTAGCATGTTAAACACCTGAATGAGACTCAGCTTGCACAGGGGACGAATGATTCAGATATGAGTGATGGTCATTAACAGCAGGGATTAGTCAGTCAGCTCTATGCATGTGTTTGGGTGGCAAAATGAGCAATACATGGCGATGCACTGTAAGGCATTAGAGATTTCTGGAGGGTGAGGGAGAAGGAGGGGAAATTGCTGCTATCTGCAGTGCAATTTAATAGGCAACAGCAACTTTGGAAGTATAAAAAAGCACTCAGAACCTTACCTGTTTGCAGTCTTGGGTCAATAGGTGATTAGAGAGTGAGCCCAGATCATGGTGCTATTGGGGCAGTTCCTGCTTTTGACATGACATCTTGTGTAATTTTGCTCAGGACATCCACAATGACCTGATTTCTTTATTTCTCCAGCTGATTTTTTTTTTTATAGCAATCACTGAATATTTAGCCAGAAATTTTGCTAATAGCGAGGAACAGCTGTCCCTCTGAGAAGTGTGGTCAATACGGTGAGTGCAGTCTGGATATTCGAGATAAACTCATTCAGAACCCTTCAATTAGTGGAAAAAGCCCATCAACGCAGACCAATACTGACAGATCCCTGCTAGGCTGGACTCTGGCACTGCTAACACTTAACTGTTTCACGCCTAACTTTGAAAACCATTTTTTTATATGGGAATTTTGCAATCACCAGCCCACCCCCCATAATCTTGCTCCAGTTTCTCATGTGAATCACTGTTGTTAGGCAAACCCATACTTTAGGTTTACCGATACCATGTGAGAGGTGTACTGAGTATAAGGGATTTGCCTGTTCTGAGACCTCCGCCCCCACTATCGTACCTGCTGTGGGAACTGGATTGCTGCTAGCAAATATGGGTAAAAATCACTTATTGTACAGTGAAATTTCTCAGGGGGATGCTGTGCTTGGCTGCTTTACACAGGCTCTGAAAAAGCATTTTGAGATTACACAGCGATAAAACGTAAAAATCACCACCACATTTAGCTTGCATGTTGAGCCTACATACAGGGCCAAATCGAAGGGCACGTCTACCAGGCAGTCCCTGAGGCATCAGGATGGCTGAAGCTACCTGCTCTTAGCAGCACCTTCTAAGAGGCCCCAGTGGGATAACTGACCCTGTTTCCTCATCAGAAGGTTTTTGACAGGGGATCCATGATGGAATAATATGGGACATCTTTTCCAGACTCCTCGATAAATGACATATTTCCAAAAATATTGGCGTGCGCTCTTCAAAGATCTTGCTGGAAAGGAGGGAGGTTTTTGTGAGCAGGCAGCGTTAAGTCGGGCCCCTTTCTTCTAGGGTCTGTACAACTGCTGCCAGCCTCAGCCGGAGACGGGTGCGACGAGGCTCTGGTGCTGCAGAGCCCCACGGCCTGTTCCTCCCCCTCCAGCCTCCCAGCTGAACGGGGCAGAGGGGCACGGGTGCGCCTTCCTCGGAGGGGACACCCACCGCCACCCATGACCCGCTGCAAAACCGGCCGCAGAGCACGCGGGCGCCAGCCGCTCCCTCTCCCGTGGCTGGCGACGCTGTCATTCCCCGTCCCGAGGCCGGTGAAGTGTTAACGCTGCGTTTCCCAAGCCAGAGATCAGGCCCTCTGCACGCCAGCCGGATCTGCAAAGCTACGGGATAGCGGAGCAGAGGAGCGGAGGAGAAACCTCCCCTGTATTTCCCCGCTTTGCGGGGGCAGAGAAGGGGGCTGGGGGCGAAGCAGCAGGTGGGGAGCGCCCGGCCATTTCGCATGCTTCGCCCTTCCCGTCCCCTCGTCCTACCTCAGGTGCCACGGTCCTGCGTTTTTCTGCTTTTCTGTACACCTCCAAATATTTGTTTTGTGAATAACAATAGACATGCAGTTATATTTATCTGCAGAGGTGATTACTTTAGAAGCCCACACTGAGAATTGAAAACTTCAAAAGCTTTAATTTGCCTGTTTCTATAGATAACCATTTCCAAAGAAATTGCTTCCTTTAAAAAGACAGTTTCTTTGTGACAAAAGTGCTCTCATGTAATAGGGCATGTAGTTTTACAACTCAGGCACAAGTTGAAGTATTTCTTGTACTGCTCAAACCAAAATACATTTACAGGTTTTAAGAAGGAATAAGCCAGTGTCTCATCTAACCCATTGTTTTGTCTAACATAGGTCCCACAATTTCACCTGGTTTCTTAGTAACCTCTAATTTTTGATGTATTTACTTAGAAAGATAGGCATTTTCCACACATTTTAAAAAAATATAAATCATCAGGTCACATGTGAGATGGGGCTTTCAGGTGATGGGTTTTGCCTCCACCTGAAACTAATCAGCTGTCTCGCAGCTGATGAGATAAGTCTAACAAGGAGCTTACTTAAGGGAGGGAGCCAGCTAGAGCTAAAGAGACTGGGTCATGTGGAGGATAAGGCTGTTATGCAAAACTGGCTGATCTACCTGGCTGATCTACGTAGGTGACAGTAGAGATCTGGAAGGAGTCGGGTGGTAAGATTTGGCTTGCCTATTTTACCTGGTTTTGAATTATTCCTGTAATTGGTTTAGTCCCTTTAGGAAGAGTCTCAGAAAATGTTGTTCATATTCGCTTCAGCTAGCTAGTCTGCCAGCCTGCTCAAGGGAAACAGAGGGTTGAGGAGATGCTTGCTGAGTGGAAAATGTTCAGCTGATGCAAATGTTTTATTACAGCAATCCTTGCTGACCTATGTGAGATATTTTATTGTGGTGTGTGTCCATTGTCTTTTAACAGCAATTGATGTGATTTTTGTAGAGTATTATCTATATTTTTGTCCTTGAACTATGTTGCAACTGTGACCTCGAGTGAAGGAATGTGGAGAGTTTACCATGATGCAATATGGAGATCTGTATAGGATGGGCAATGCCTAAAACTAGGGAGTGCATTAACTTCTTCTGTAGGAGTTCCTCTAATTCACTAGTGAAAGCATCTGTACCATCAGGGGCTTCAAATCTTGCTAGAGCTTCCCTTAAAGCCTTGCAGTACCAGGTGCTGTACACAAATTGGTTTGGTAGCTCCCTCCAACCAAGTTCTTACCATCTGTCATTACAGTGCTCAAATGGGTCTCTTAATCTGGCAGAATGACTGCTCAAATCTATAGAGAGGCTTATGCAGGCGCTCTCCCCTCTTTGTAGTTCAGGCAAAGATCCAAAAGGGGAAGAAAAAAAAAAAATCATCTGGGTATCCAGGGTGTAAATCAGGCAGAACTTAAAAGGCGCAAAACCACTCTGGCATCTTTTACTTTTATTTGCCATCAAAAGCCTTCTGTGATGTGTATGGGTTTAGTACTGTGGTTCCCTTACTGCTAAAGGCTAAACAATGCCCGGAGGCCAGCTCCCTTCCCTGTGAGTGAGTGCCTGCACTACACTAGATGGCACTGCTTAATACTCACGTTTTCCCTCTTGTCTCTGCTGTGTCGGTTCCCTGGACCTGGAGCATCCTGTAGCTGCAGCTTCATCTGGCTGTAACCAGTGCTCTGTGGTCGCTGGTGATGGGATCACCTGCAGGGAGGTATTCGGAGCAGTCCTGTAGCAAGGTAGCAGTGGTGGTCATCAGAAACATGTGCTAAGTTCATCTCTTTACCTTAATAAATGAGCAAAGCAGAGCTTTTCAGAGACTGCGCGCTTAAATTAAGACTGAGTTCTGATGTTATCTTTGACTCTTGCTAGCATTCCCTGTCTCCTTTCTCGTGGTTGGAAAAAGAGGCATTGATAGAATTGCTGCAGATATTAGTCATTTCCCAAAGCAAGAAATCTGAATGATAATACTGCTGTTAGATACTGATCAATAAATATGGAGGGGAGGACAAGCTATGGAATAACAAATCTCTTTGCTTTCATCAATAGCCTATAGATTTGGCAGTAAACAACTGGGCTTCTGCTTTTGTGTTCAGCTATTTCAGAAGCTTGATTCTTGCAAGGAAGGTCTGATCAAAATTTAGGAATACTGTTGAACCTACGTTGTGCCCCTCACTCACTAATAAATTGCTGAATATATCTACAATGTGAAAGCAGAGAGTCCTGCCAGTATTATGTGTACTTTTGGAAATATGATGTATGCTTATGAAAGTCAAACATCAGATTTCTTGACTAGTATATAGCTTTTGCATAACTTCAAAATGTGTTGTAAAAGCAGTTATTAGCTGAAGTACTGATCTTTTCCAAAAGTGAGAAGAGAGCTAAGTGCTCTTAACAGGTTAGATATTCTGAAATCAGCTGGACCTAGAATACTTAAACTCACTAAAGGTATGTTAGAAAGCGATGGGTATTTCTGAAGGTGGCTAAAGTTCTGGAAAAGGACAAATGGGATCACTCTCAGGAGGAAAAAAAAAAAAAGGGGGGGAAAACAGAGGGCTGTGGTAGTTGTAGATTGCCCAGCCTGATGCCAGTTCCTAGAAGAAACATGCATAAAAAGACTGGTAAGTAATGGGGGGAATTGCAGAGAGATAAGTAACAGCCTATGCTGATTCCTTGGGGAGGTATCAGGCCACCTTACTTCCTCTGACACTGAAACAGGCCTTTTAGCTGGGGTGAAGTGTCAGAGACATCTTGGCTGCTTTAATGCTGATCTGTTTGGCCTTTGACTCAGGCAACAGAAGTGGGAGTTAAACTTGAAGATGATTCAAGGTGGGAGGGACTGCAAGTGCACACAGGGGTTATTCAGAATTTAAAAGATCTGAGGAAATGGATTCAAAATACCGGCTGAGATTGAATAAAGAAAAATAAGATGCAATACATTCATTAGCTGATTATTCCTCCCCAATAGGGAATGAGAAATAAATGGCTAGGTAGCATTTTTTACAGAAAAGGGTCTTGGGAGTATACTTAAAATATATCATAACTGTGCTATTGCCAACACTCCCCCTAAACCTCATAAGAGTGGGAGCTACAGACAGAAATATAGATTGCAAGACACATGCAAAGATCCTTTTTCCACCTATCGTTGATCAAGCCTCAGCTGGAGCACTGTGGCTGGTTTTGGATATTATACTTTAAGAGCAATGTGGCACACTTGGAGAGCATCCAGAGGAGAATAACATGTTCTCCTTAATAAAGAACATAACCTACAAATAAATTTCTTTTTTTTTTTTTTTTTTTTTTAATCTAGATTAAGAAAGAAAAATCTGGGAATGGGAGAAAAGGAATGATCATAATTTTCAAATATATAGAGACTGTTTCAGAGAGAAGTGGCTATCTCTTCAAATATGATGGATAAGAGCAATGGCTTTAAATTGGTGCAAGGAATATTGGGGGCTGATGCAAGTAAAATCTCACAGGTATAGTTAATCCTGCCTTGAAACAAAGAGACACTGGGTAGTCCCTTTCTGCCCTCTGTTTCTATTATGATATTTAATAGTAATTAATACTGACAATTTAACTTAAAAGATACAGCAGTACAACTCCAGATCCTGGACCTGCTAAGCCAACAAGGATGATGCTTTATTTTGAAGACCCCAATCTTCAATTTTATTAGTGTCTGAACAGTGTTGTCTCTTGTTTTCTCCCTAAAGCTGTGGTGAATTGCCCATCTGAAATAAATATCATGGATGTGGCTATATTTTCAAGACTTCCTCACTGAAATGTTATACATGCCTTTTTTTTACACTCATAACCCAGATTACAAAGTAAGATGAAAGGAAGAAAACTTCTAGAAATAATTAACAAATAATAATACTTTAAATAAGATCATTTACATGTTGGGGTTTTTTCCTAGGGGCTTAGTAAGTAGTAGGTGTAGACTAAACATTTTAGTATGGCTACAAACTGGACCCTACACCAGATCTATAAGTAAAGGGCTAAATGAAGTGTTCTGGAATTTCCCATCCCACTTTGAGCCAAAACTTGATAATTGACGCCCCCACAATGGGGGGATTACCCTGGGCAGATGGAGAAATTGCTCTGTGCAGTTGAGGAGGCTGTCAAAGGAAAGTTGGGAACCATGTGGCTAACCTCAAGAAGAAAGAAAACCAAACTCTTTCTGAAGTCAGAACAACTCGTCTGGCCCAAAACCATAAAGGAAAGCAAGTTTGTCATTAAGTTTACTGTACTGCATACTCTCATTGTGTTGGTACTTATTCCTCCGCTGAAAATATTTAGGGACACACAAGCTGCTGAAAAAGGTTAGTTAATCCTGGTATGGGACTGCTCTCTCCTGGAGCAACTGGCTGCTCATGGCTTAGATGGGTGCACTCTTTACTGGGTAAAAAGCTGGCTGGATGGCTGGGCCCAAAGAGTTGTAGTGAATGGAGATGGATCCAGTTGGCGGCCGGTCACAAGTGGTTTTCCCCAGGGCTCATCACTGGGGCCAGTTCTGTTTAATATCTTTATCGATGATCCGGATGAGGGGATCAGGTGCACCCTCAGTAAGTTTGCAGACTACACCAAGTTGGGCGGGAGTGTTGATCTGCTCGAGAGAAGGAAGGATCTACAGAGGGATCTGGACCGGCTGGATCGATGGGCCGAGGCCAATTGTATGAGGTTCAACAAGAGCAAGTGCCGGGTCCTGCACCTGGGTCACAACAACCCCCTGCAACGCTACAGGCTTGGGGCAGAGCGGCTGGAGAGCTGCCCAGCGGAAAAGGACCTGGGGGTGTTGGCTGACTGCTGGCTGAATACGAGCCAGCAGTGTGCCCAGGTGGCCAAGAGGGCCAGTGGCACCCTGGCTTGTGTCAGCAATAGTGTGGCCAGCAGGACTAGGGAAGGGATCGTCCCCCTGTACTCAGCCCTGGTGAGGCTGCACATCGAATACTGTGTTCAGTTTGGGGCCCCTCACTGCAAGAAAGACACTGAGGTGCTGGAGCTTATCCAAAGCAGCGCAACAAAGCTGGTGAAGGGTTCAGAGCACAAATCCTGTGAGGAGCGGCTGAGGGAACTGGGGTTGTTCAGCCTGGAGAAGAGGAGGCTCAGGGGAGACCTTATCGTTCTCTCCAAGGAGGTTGTAGTGAGGTGGGTGTCAGTCTCTTTTCCCAAGTAACAAGTGATAGGATGAGCAGAAATGGCCTCAAGTTGTGCCAGGAGAGCTTTAGATTGGATATTAGGAAAAATTTCTTTGCCAAAAGGTTTGTCGAGCATTGGAACAGGCCACCTAGGGAAGTGGTAGAGTCACCATTCCTGGAGGTATTTAAAAGATGTGTGGATGTAACACTTGGGGACGTGGTTTAGTGGTGGACTTGGAAGTCTTAGGTTTACAGTTGGACTCGATCTTAAAGGTTTTTTCCAACCTAAATGATTCTATGATTCAACTGAGTGATGCATCAAACAACTGTAGAGAGGAGTCATTTGATCTAGAGAGGTGTGTCAAAAGATTTCTGTGAGTTACTTAATTTTGCCAACATTAAAATGCAGCAGAAACTGTCATGTCTCTCAATCATAACATGGTGAAAGAGACAGAATAGGGAGATACCTTGTGTTAAGCCTGAGAAAGTTTTAATCCTTTTGTTTTCAGCAAACAGAAGGACTTTCATGTAGTCTTTTTC